TATCGCAAAAATGCATATATAATGCCCAAAATGAACAGGAAAAAATAATTAAAACACGTTTAATAACCGACAATTCTATTAGTCATTTTTATAAGCTTCTATCCTGTGTTAACTGGGACACCCTAAAACTAAATCTAAACGCCAATAAAGCGTATGATATTTTCCTAACAGAGTTTCTTAATCTTTATAACAAGGAATTCCCAGAAGTTACTAAAGTAATCAAAACAAAAACACTTTTAAACCCTTGGATCACGAAGGGCATTCTTAAATCTTTAAAAAAAAAACAACGCTTATATAACAAGTTTCTTAAAAAAAAAACTCTTAAAAATGAAACTACCTATAAAAACTATAAACGGCTATTTGAGTCAATCTTAAAACGCTCAAAGAAACGTTACTATTCTGAACAATTAATAAAGTACAAAAATGATTCTAAAAAAACTTGGCATATTATTAAGGAGGTAATTGGAAAAAAAGCTTATACAGAAATTTACTTCCTCTAAATCTTAAATTTAATAACAAACAAATTGTAAATAAATCCTTAGTCGCTGAAACACTTAACCAGTTTTTTGTAAATATAAGTCCTACTTTATCATCTAATATAGCAACTACTCAATCACACTTTAGTTCGTACTTAACCTCAACCAACCTTAATGTTATGTCTAATTATAAACTTACAGAAAAAGAATTACTAGACGCAGTCACTTTATTAAAACCCAATAAAAGTTTAGGATTTGATGATATAAGTAGTAATGTCATTATCAAATCAATAAAACAAATTACAATTCCATTACTACATATTTTTAATTTATCTCTAAAACAAGGCGTTTTTCTAGATAACCTAAAAATTGCAAAAGTAATTCCAGTGTTAAAATCAGGTGATCCTTCCGATGTTACGAATTATAGACCAATCTCAATTCTTTCTTGTTTTTCTAAAATATTAGAGCGGGTTATGTATAATAGACTATATTCCTTTTTAAATTTTAATAATATTCTTTATCATAAACAGTTTGGATTTAAATCTGGTCATTCAACTGATCATGCAATCACTCACCTTGTTCATGATATATTTAAAGGGTTTGATGAAGACAAGTATACCCTAGGTGTATTTATCAATTTAAGTAAAGCTTTTGACACTGTCAATCATCAAATCCTTCTATCCAAACTGAAAAGTTATGGTATAATAAATACTAATTTGTCCTGGTTTGATAGTTACTTGACTAATAAAAAGCAGTTTATTTCATATGATAGCGGAAAAACGGAATATAAGTCAATCACCTGTGGTGTTCCTCAAGGATCAATTTTAGGACCACTTTTATTTCTCGTTTATATTAATGACTTATATAAATTTTCTAACATTTTAAACTTAATTTTGTTTGCAGATGATACAAACTTGTTTTATTCTAGTAAAGATATCAGTAAATTATTTCAAACAGTAAACAAAGAACTTGAAAAATTAACCCAATGGTTCAAATCAAACAAACTATCTTTGAACATCAATAAATCCAAATACACTTTGTTCCATCGTCTTCATAAAAAACAAGATATTCCATTAAAACTTCCTGATCTTTTTATTGATAACGCGTTATTAAAAAGAGAGCAATCAATAAAGTTTTTAGGTGTGGTTCTGGATGAAAATTTAACCTGGAGGGACCACATACGTCTAATTGAAAATAAAATATCAAAAAATATAGGTGTTTTGTATAAAGCCAAGCAGTTTTTAAATCTACCTTGTTTAAAAAACTTATATTTTTCTTTAATTCATTGCTACTTAAATTATGCAAACGTTGCTTGGTGCAGCACAAACGCAACAAAAGTAAAAAAACTGTTTAGTAAACAAAAACAGGCTATAAGGATAATTACAAACGTAGACCGTTTCTCTCACACTAAAACATTATTTAATAAACTTAATATTCTAAATGTATATAAACTAAACCTTTACCATATTCTTATCTTCATGTTTAAACTTGATAAAAAAATATCACCAATGTTATTTAATTCACTTTTTGAAAAAATAAACCACATATACCCTACCAGATTTTCAAAAAACAATTACATTCAATCCAAAACACATTATTCAGCAACCAAATTCTCAATTGCAAATCGAGGTCCTAAGCTGTGGAATACAATATTAAATAATGAGCTGAAATCTAATTATTCTTTAAACCAGTTTAAAACAAAACTTAAGCAATTACTGATGATACATGAAAATGAATTAAAGTTCTTCTAAAAAGCTTTTTAAACTAGCAAACAAAAACAAAAATTAACCTACTAATTACTCTTTAATATTATATTTAATATTCTAAACAATAGTCTGCTATTGTAAATGTATTTCTTATCTTATAAGTTTTGAATTTACAAACGATTTTTTAAGTTTTATTATTTGAAATACTAATTACTAAAAATATTTTTAAATTTTATAATTTCAATTTTTATTAAAAAAAGTTATTGTAAATTCTTTTTGTAATATTAATACTTATATATCATCTTATTTTACTAATCAATTCTTAAATATAAATACTCTTTGAATTACTAAATATTTTAAACAATATATATTTTATTTTTTACATTTTGTCAAAATATTTTATTTGATGAATATGCATTTTTTTGGGGGGGCTTAATGATAAGATGGATTTTGTCTTCTTCAAGCCCCAGTCATGTAAATATTTGTTTTTATAAATTACGAGTGTAAATTATTTTCAATCGGCAAATACAATACTAAAAAAAAAAAAAAAAAAAAAAAAAAAAAAAAAAAACCTCAAAAACCAAGGGTCTCGCTCTTGGGGGCTTTGATCCTAAAATTTACCCTGAATTAGACAGCATAGAGTGGAGCAATAACACCGGTTTTAAAATTTTAGGTGTTACTTTTTACACCAGACTGAGTAATGCTACCAATTTCAACTGGTTAGTAACTCTAAACAAAATAGAGAAAAAACTCAAGTTTCTGGGACTACGCACTTTGTCACTTAGGGGAAAGACTATGTTGATCAATGCGTTAGCAATGTCAAAAGTTTGGTTTCTATCAAACGTGTTGCCTACTCCTGATTGGGTAATAGACCGTTTGCATAGAGCCATTTTCGAAAATCTGTGGCAAAAGACCAATTTCAATCCGGTCAAACGAGAGACACTTTTTTTACCCGTCAAAAGCGGGGGTCTCGGAATTTTATCTCCGAAAGAGCAAAGTCTTGCACTTCGCCTCAAAACACTCTTTCAATTGAAAGAATGCGAAGAGGACCAAACTCACGATTTTTACTACTTTTCAAAGTACTGGTTGGCAAGTTCACTTATAAAATATACGAACCAAAACCAAAGCTGGAACTTTTTGAAACAAAACATTTTTCCAAAACACTGGGACAACAAAATGTCTCACTACTACAAAACAACAATAGAAGCTTTTGGTCAAAACGGGTCCCTGTTTAACATCCCTCTAAAATCAACAAAAAATTTTTACTTAGAAGTGGCAAAAAACAAAAAGACAGTCGTTACAGCAGAACTTTTCTGGAACGGTTCAACAAAAACAACAATGCCGTGGACCCATATTTGGAAAAAGAACTTTACCTCCCACGCATGCGGACCGACTCAAAACATCCTCTTTCGATTTTTACACAACAGTCTACCTTCTGCGGCCTTGCTAGCCAAAAGCACAAGGCAACAGATCGTTAAAAACAACAAATGCAAAAATTGTGGTAAAATCGATGACAACATACACATCTTTGCCTACCGTCCTCCCTCTGTTGAAATTTGGGAGTATTTTAAACATGTATATAGATCTGGTTTGAACATATAAGAGAATTAACAAGAGAACGACGTGTTAACTGGGTGCCACCGGATTCTTCGTAAAATTTGAAGATCTCCAGACTATTCCAGATGCGCTTACGGTTTGAAATCAAACTTTGTTTGACTATCTCCAAGGCATGGTCATGCAATGCAATGGCAAATAAAGGAGGACAATTAGAGAAAAACTTAGCATGAAAGTCTTTGTGATATCTCCCATCAGCTGCATGTAAATCACTTACTGCTCCATTTATTCGATTAACAACATCTTGTGCCCATCCGTCATCGCGCTTTAAGCTTTTGCAAGAACAGTTTGTTTGAAGGTAGTTTTCCCTTGCCTATCAGCAATGCGACAAAGATATGTCTCTCTCCATCAATCAGGGTGTTTTTTGTCTCGTTTTAATAAGCAATTTTCTCCACAGAATAAACAACTCAAAAGGTAGTTAAAAAAATCTTTCCCTCTCAAACGTTTTTTAGCTGATTTTAAAGGAAGAGTTTGCTCGTGCTCATGTTGGCGCTTGGCGCCACAAATCTTTAAACGCGTTTTTTTAAACAATATGTTTTGATACAGTTAGTATGGGTCCTAAAACTGTTGACATCGTTTCCCGATTTCAAACCCAATTCATCTCCCTGCAATGTGCTAGCATTTTGAAGACCAGCTACTCTTTTGGAGATAATCAAGTTGTTATCCTCAGCACCGCAAATGAGGCACTCCATTATCACCTAAAATAGTGCATATACAATGTTAATACACGATGCTACGTAATATATTAGAAGGGTAAATTATACTTTTTAATATAATAAATTTGTAATATATTATAAACAGTGGCGGAACTACCATACCGCAATACAGAACTGGATACGAAAACTTGAAGCAGACCAAAATATAATTCAAAAAAACGTGGCACAGCTGCAGGAAATAATATTGAAAGAAATAAAGAAATCGAGTTATTAATTAATGCAAACTATGCATTAACTACTATTGACATTGCAGAGTTAATGCCAGAAGAACATAAATTCTCGACAACTACAGTCAAAAGAGAATTAAAACAAATGGGATGTACCCGTAAAATGCTTAAATCGATCGTTGTTGCAAGAAATTCAGCTCAAGTAATAGCAACAAGGTTTATGTTTTGTAATCATGTTTCTTTTCTACAAAATTCAGATCTGGTCTATATTGATGAAACCGGGTTCAATCTGCATGATTCACGACATTATGGATATGCATTATGAGGAAGCAGCCGTATGTTACAGTGCCCACACAGAGAGGAAGAAATGTTAGCCTAACATGCGCTATTTCAGTTACAGGGTATATTGGATTTAAACTAAAGATTGGAACCTTTAATGCCACTAGCATGCACGACTGGATAGAACAAGATTTAAGACCAGTTTTAAGTGATCGCAGATATGTTTCATTAATGGATAATGCGCAATTCCACCATTCATCAATAGTAGAATTGGCATTTCGAGAAAGTAATTGTACTATCCAGTATTTACCACCTTACAGTCCTCAACTTAATCCAATCGAGGAGTTTTTTGGCGTGGTTAAAAATTTATTTTAACCACGCCAAAAAACTAGCGGCCTAACAATTCACAGGAAATGATTAGAATTATTATTGAGACTTTATCAGGTTTTACCGAATATTCTTTTGAGAATTATGAGTGAGTGGGTGTTGAAAGGAATTCAACGTAATGAATTTATTTGATTAAATTATACTTGGATTTTTTTTCTTGATTTCAAAGATTTAAAAAAGTAAAGTTTTGATTTAAAAATAATTATGGACAAACAAAAATAATTGTGGACGCGACGAAAATAATTGTGGACGATACTGTATTAATATTCTAACTAGCAGTAAGCAACCCGTAATACGCGTTGTTAGTAAATAAAATTAAAAAAAAAAAAACGCGTATAGAAAAGCCTAGAAACTACTTTAAAATAGAAAAGCCTAGAAAATGACGTAATTCGACTAATAATATTAAATTAGCGCATTAATATTATCAGAATACAATTTTATATAGTTAATTACAAATTTATATTAAGTTGAAAAATCTGTGATGTATTATAGTTAAGCGTTACGGTGCTATTATTTCTATTATTCTGTTTTATTATTCGCTTAGAATTTGCTACTCAAGGATGGTCTCCTCACCTAAAAAAATATTATTATGCTTGAAAGCAGCGCAGAGCAACAAAAGTTTCTTCTATCTCCCAAATGAGCAACGTTTAAATATATTCAGATTGACAACACTGGAAAAGAGAAGAGTCAGGGGAGATCTTGATGAACAGTTTAAAATTCTGAATAAAATTGATATGTTAATTTTTTTGTTCCTAAAAGGTTTGAAAATGTAGATAAGGAACAAGTTATTTAAATTTAAACCAGATTTTACAATGTTAGGTAGAGATATTTCATACAACTTATGTAAGTTTGAAGACATTATATAACTATTAGAAATTTCATACTGTTTATGCAAGTTTGAAAACATTATACAGCTTTGTATGACGATTACAAGTCGATATAGGAGAATTTGTAATTTTGGACGCCATCTTAGGAAAAAAGGCGGCTACCGTAAATGCCCAACAGATTTTGTCTGGTTCCCAACGGATTTAGATTCCTCAGGTAATTTTACAATAGGAACCATCAAAAAACTTAATATATGTCTCAAAACAACGTACTACAAATTTAACAGTGATCGATACTCAGACTATTGACAGGATTTAAATTTCATCTAATAATCTTTTTGTGCTCTAAAGCTATGACTTTGCAAAATTTATTTTGTAAAACTAAAGTTATGACTTTGCAAAATTTATTTTGTAAAACTAAAGTTATGACTTTGCAAAATTTATTTTGTAAAACTAAAGTTATGACTTTGCAAAATTTATTTTGTAAAACTAAAGTTATGACTTTGCAAAATTTATTTTGTAAAACTAAAGTTATGACTTTGCAAAATTTATTTTGTAAAACTAAAGTTATGACTTTGCAAAAATTTATTTTGTAAAACTAAAATTATGACTTTGCTAAATTTATTTTGTAAAACTTACTTGGTGGTAAAAACATTACATAGTCGTTACTTTCAAACACTCAAGAATGCTAAAAAAATTTAAAACTTATCAATGATTTTGGTGTAGGTACGACAAACATTTTGTGATTTTTTTGTTCCCAGTCTCAAATTATATCTGAAAATATCAAAAAATCCTTCTTCCGGGCCTGAATAATCGAGAATAAAACAGAATACGATAACATATTTTTTTTAATATAGTTTTTCATTATACGCAAGAGAGCAAGACGTGTTTTTTAAAGAGAAAAAATAACTGGTAATAAATAAAGTTTTTTTTTCTATATTTAATATGGTTCTTTATTTATAAAACTTGAAATTGAAAAAGAATTTGTCAATAAAAACAATATGGCACCACGTTCAATCGAGGAGATGTTTATCTATTTAAAGTGTGACATTTATACATTTGAAGAAAATTTTTTGAAAAATATTGAGGAAATTTGTTCTCATCCGAAAGACTTAGTTATCGCAAGCATGAACTCAATCTCAGAAAGCACAATTCGAAACCTTCGAGAACGACTATTTTTTGAAATCGTTGAGACATTTTGTGCAGATGTTGAAAATCCTGTTGAAAAGAATCTTCGTAAAAGATACAAAACAAGTTTATGTTTAGAAGATATTTATATACTTTCAATCACATTATGTGAAAAACAACTTCATAAAGAAATTGTTAAGGTAATTATCTCAACAAAAAATGTGGACACACCGTCCAACGATAAATTTTTAACTAAATCTGTAAAGGTTGTTACATATCTCAAAGGAAATTCAAAAAGAAAATAAAGAAATAAAAGAAGAACTCATACTTTTGAAAAAAAAAATAATTTTCCAAAATAAACATATTGAAAAACTTAAAATAGAAAACAGACAATCGGAACTGGATATAAGTCTCTTACAGCCGTGTCAAATACCGAAATTAAAAATTGATGGTTATACGCAATGTGAAAATAAAATTAACAACCCAGCTGCTACAAAAAATCAAACTCAAACAACGCATAAGTCTTTTTTAAACGTTGAATACAAACCGCAACTATTAAAAACATTCGCAAATGTAGTAGCTCAAACCCACTCAAACACAAATCAACCACAAATCGACGCCATGTTGACCACAAAAATAAATAAAAAAACCAATATCGATCAACAACTACACGCATCAAACACCAACATTGATGAAAATAATTTTACTTTAGTGTGCCAAAATAGTAAATCTAATTACAAAACACAAAATCGTTCATTAGTAAAAAAACATAGAATTTCAGAGCCCGTGTTCGGAACAAAAATTTCTCAAAATAAAACAATTGCAGGTGAAAGAATAGTTCGTAAATTTGACATTTTTGTCGGAGGGGTAAGCAATCAAATCAATGAAGAACTTTTTAAAAACTATCTAGAAACAGAAATAGGAATCTCCCCCTTATCTGTTATATTGAATAAAGAAAATGAATACAATAGATCATACAAAGTTATCGTAAACAGCACAGAAAAAAATATAATATTTAACCCTGCTTTATGGGATAACAATATAATAGTTAAACCATACCGAAAAAAACGTTTATATACTAACATATCTCAAAATCTGGAAACTAACGGAAACCAGGAAGATTTTCATAGATCAAAATGGATTTAGGGAATATTTTTAAGGAAGATAAACTTCCAGCAACATTTAATCTATGTACTTTCAACTGCCACGGTCTAAAGTCTAATTTTGAGTATACCAAATTGTTGATTCTCTCTCATGACATAACTTTTATATGTGAACACTGGTTATTGAATTTAGAATATTTCATAATAAAAAATATCTATAAAAATACCCTTCATTCTTCATTCTTCCACCAGGCTAACAAACATGAGCAGGGTTGACCGTTTGGCGGAAACGCTTTTTTTATTCGGAAACATTTGTTTCAAAACATTATTATTCTATATGAAGATGACCATATCTTCGCAATAAATCTTAAAAAAAAATCAGACTAACATTATTATTATTGGCATTTATCTTTCATCGTCGCGCAATAATCAAACATCACTGGAGGATTACAAGAGTCAGTTGGATATAATTTCAGGTGTTATTAATAACTACGAGGGCGTTGCTGAATTTATTGTCCTTGGTGACTTTCAATCTTTTCCTCACGGAATATATGATTGATTAAAGAGAGCTAGCTCTACGAAAAATAGCTACTCCGTAGTTTTATCAAATTTTATTAAGTCGAATAAACTTGAATTAGTGGACGTAACAAAAGGCTCTGGACCTAACATAACGTATCACCATAATACATTACCAAACGCATCTTACATAGATCACATAGCTTTCTCAAAGTATACGTCTCTTCTTTATTCCAATTGTTTCGTAATTCCTTTTTTATCTCAAAACATGAGTGATCATTTACCAGTATCGATTGAAGTTGGAATTATTGGACAATCTTCTCAAGAAAACAATCATAAAAACTCAGACAAGTACAGTATTCCAAATTATGCCTGGAATAACAATGATTTTTTACAATTATATAACAATCGCTTAAATACTAATTTTAATTTTCACAATTTTACGAATGACAATTACGATGAGGAACTTATCAAAGTATATACTGTTATTACAAAGTCGGCATCTGAGGCCCTTAATCAATATTTATATATTTATCCGTCAAAACACCGTCATTGTATTCAAAATCCTGGTGGACATCCGATTAAGCCGTAGTAAAAATGTTCTTTCATTTTATTTTAAAAAATGGCGGGAAACTGGGTTCGTTAAAAACTTAAACTCGCAAATTTTTATTCGATACCGGATGGCACTAAAAAATTTCCGCAATGTTGTAAAAAATGCTCAAATAAAAACCTGTACAAAGAATACATAAAAATCAAAGCGTTAAAAAATACAAATCCAAAATATTTTTGGAAAAATTTCAGAAATATAAAAAAAGATGCAAATTCGAAATTGTATATTATAAATAATAAAAAAGATAAAGACTCAATCACGAAAGAATTTGCCTACAGTTTTGAAAATCGAATAAACTCTAAAGCAATCACATATACCTCTACAAATTTAAAAATTCCGCCTTGCACAAAATTCGACGAGGTAATAATATCGGATGAAAATATAAAAACAGTTATTTCTCGCCTTAAATTAAACAAATCCAAAGACGCCTTCGGAATATCAGTTGAACATTTAAAGAATGCGAGCTGTGAAGCACTAACAGAATGGCTCAGAAAATTTTTTAACTTTTCTATTAACCATGGACAAACCCCAAAATCGATGTCTACATCACTTATAATACCACTTACTAAAAATCCTTAACTGATCCAAATAACTACCGCGGCATTAGCATCATTCCAATCTTTACGAAACTAATAGAATATCTTATCCTACTAATCTGTCCAGAAATAAAAGAAACTCATCCTCTTCAATTCGGTTTCACTAAAAAAAGCTCAACCCTACACGCTGAATTTGTTATTAGTGAAACAATTAAACACTACAACAACAACAACTCACCTGTCTATCTCTGTTCCCTAGATGCTGAAAAAG